CCCCCAGAGAGATGGATTGGTACAGTGTCAACATCAATGGGCTCAAGTGTAGCAATGATTGTGCGGTTGGTTCAGGACCAGGCAGTGTTTAATTCTGTTGTGCACAGGGTTGCTATGAGTTGGTAGAGACTCGATGGCACCTAACAATAACAACAATGTGTCATCAGAGCTTTGGTGGTATGTCGTGGAGTTGGTTCTGACTCGTAGTGATCCTGTATAGGGTTTCCAAGGCTGTGAATCTTTATGGGAGTAGAAAGCCTCATCTTTCTTCCAAGGAGCCAAGGGTAGATTCTAACTGTTGACCTTGTGGTTAGCAGTCCAGCACATCACCCACTATGCTATCAGGGCTCCTTATCAGAGTTTTAGAAGAAGAAAAGCGACAACAGCTACGTCACAACAGAAAAATACAAGCTTTGTCTCAGATACCAGGAAATAAAGGTCCAGTTCAGCTCAGTGTAGCCTGGTTTAGGAGCCTGGTGGCACCGTAGGTTAAGTGTTGGGCTGCTAAGGACACCAGCTTCTTCTAATGGTTGCCTCTGGGACTTTGGCACGTACCCTCCTTCCTGGGCTTCAGTGTCCCCCCCTATAAGATGGGTGATTGAGCTTCCCAGGCCTGTCCTAGCCAGAAATCTCTGGACAAGTGGGGGTCCCCAGCAGCCCTCCAAACACCCCACATGTACAGCAGTGCTCTGTAGCCATGTTCCTGGAGCTCCACCAAGGGGGTCACATGGCAGCCCCTACACCTGTGACAGGTGAGGAAGGTGGCCCTCAGAAGCTAAACAGAGGAGCCTAGAGCTGGGCTCAGAATGCTTGCATGCCCTCAGGACACTGGGCAGTATCTAGGACTGTCCCCCTCCACTCCAAGTCCAGGTGCTGGCTTTTCCTGTCTTATCGGGACTTACCTGTCTCACATCTCCTGGGGCTGCTCCCAGCTTCCCACCAGCCCAGGATCAGCTGCAGGTTGATCCCTGGTTTCCGCCCCATTGCTCCCTCCCAGGGCCTGGGATTTAGACCACCCACCAGCCAGCCCCACTAAGAGGCTTTGCCTGGAAGAAGGAGAGGGACAGGGCAGGGGGCTTGGGCCAGCTGGGCTCCCATAAAGGGGCTTCCTATCCCAGGCCCCCAGACAGAAGACCTCCTTCTGGAGCTAGAACCCACAGCCCTCCCCAGAGGCTCTTAGGCTAGGCCTGGGGCACAGTCCTGTCTGGGAGAGACCCCACCATCAGAATCCCCTGACACCTCACCCACCCCACCCCTAGGCCACATTCTGGCAGGGGCCACAGTGGCTCTTCTCCCTGGATAAGGCTAATCTCAGCCCCAAGAGAGAGAGTCTGGGAATGTGGGGAGGGGAGGGCCCAGAACAAAGAGGACTGTGTCTCAGTGTCCCAGGCCACCTGAGGGTGACTTGCTGGTGGTCCTGGGCCTCTGCCACTGCCATCCTAACCCCCTTCCTTGAAAAGTCCACTATTTCCTGGGAAACTACAAGTGGAAATGAGACTGGGATGGGGGTATAGCTGAGGGTTTTAGAGACTTGCTCCAAATGAGGGCAGTGGGAGGTCTCCCATGGTACAGACAGCAGCCTTCAGGACCCTGGGCTCCATCCACTCTCCAGTGCCCTGTCCCCAAATCAGACACTGCTGTTCCGGCTTAGGAGCCAGGTCCTTTATTGCTCACTGTTTACAAAAATTCAACAAGGGCATGTGGACAGGGACTGGGGCAGAGATGGGGAAAGAGGTTGGAGGGTAAGAGGTGGGCCCCTCAAGGGAGACTCCTGGGACCACTGGAAGGAAAGAAGCTGTTCTGTCCCCAAAGCTGCCAGTTTCACTGGGAAGCCCCAAACCCCAGACTAGGGGTGAGGTGGGATGGAGGCAGTCCTGGGCTCCTTGATCCAATTCTGCCGCCACTGGCTCTGGGGGCCCTGGTCAGTGTGGGGGTGTGAGTTCAGACCCTGGTGGAGGCACGTGCCTCAGCGGATGAGGGGTGCTGAGCGGTCGTTGGTGACGGTGGGTCGCAGCTTCACGGTAGCAAAGGGATTCGTGCCCCTGTGTGTGTGGGTGGGGTGGGGTGGGGGAGAGGCTGGGCTGAGATGGGCACATACCCCACTGTAGGCCCAAGGAAGGTGGGTGGGCGACTGGACTGGTATCCACCCCCACCTTCTGCCCTCCATGGGTCCCTCCTGAGCCTGCTCACCGAGGAAAGAGTGCCGGGGATTGCTGCTCCCATGGTAACAGTTGCTGCGGGAAGGTGGGAGGAGGGAGGGGAGGAGGAGGGTCCTGTTGGTGGGGAGAGGGGCAAGCGAGCCTGTTTCTCCATCAGTTGTGTCACTCCCACCCCAGGGCAGAGAGTCAGACGATGGACTAGAAGATCCCTGGGTTCCAACACTTCAGGAAAACTAGGTTCTACATTCTGAAGCCCAGAATTCAGTGGGTTTCAACGTTTGAGCGAGCTCTGAGCCAAAGTACCATGTCCCAGGGCTAGCCAACCCCTATGGGGAGGTGCCCTCCTGCCCAACCTGTCCTAGCCTCCCTGGCAGTGGAGAGGCCTCCAGTGATCCTAGTGGGAAGGGGGAGGGGCACCAGTCCTTGAGGCCAATGCTTTCCCCCTCCTACCCACCCCAGACTCAACCCCATCCCACCCCACCCTTTTGCACAGGTGAACATGGAGGCCTGGGGAGAGGGACCCTGCCAGAGAGGAGGGGTTACCTGGTCTCCTGCCTCCCTGCCCACTGGACGGCCCAGGGCGGAGGACAGGCTGCGGGGGCTCACCTTAACATCACTGGCCACCCCCATGCTTCCCATGCTGCTGCGGCGGCTGCTAGGCAGGGGTGTGGGTGCGGGGCTGGGGGCGCGGCTGGGGACCCGGCTCGGGGTGCGGGAGCGGGACTGGCCATCCCAGTACTCCGAGGGAGCAGCGGAGTTGCCAGGTGGGTCCAGCAGGTCATTGAGGCTGTGGCTTCCCCGGAGAGGGTACGACCTGAGCCCAGAGGACAGAGGGGAGGAGGGGCCAGGGGTCAGGCCCTGCAGCCCCCACATGCTGAGGGATGGACACATTGACTTTCACGTAAAGAGATGGGGGGGGGGCTGCTGAAAGCTGTGCTTCTCCAGGGGTGGAAGGGGGCTGGGCCCACTTAGGACTGTGGCTCACAGAGGCTGTATGAGGTAGATGGACCCACCCCATAGGGTCCCCATCCCTGCCCCAACCCAAGTACCTGGAAGGTAACTCATTCCCAGGGGTCATGGTGGACATGGAGTTCAAGGAATTCTTGGGGTTCACAGGTACCCCCTCCACAGGCTTCACGTACGCCTCAGGGAACCAGCCGCTCCTGCAGGGGGCAGGGAGCAGAGGGCCTCTTAAGTGATGCCCGGGGAACTGCTGAGCACTGCTGTGGGCCAGGCCCTGCTGGAAGGGCTTGGTGGCTGGTAATGTGCACTACAGGATACACCTAGACCACAATGCTGCTGTGAACCACATTGTTGCTGGTTCAAACCCACTAGCTGCTCCTTGGAAACTGCATACGGGGTGGCTATCAGTCAGAACCGACTTGACAACACTTAATAATAACAACAACAACTTAATTTAATCCTATGAAGGTGGGAACTCCCCCCACCCCCCACCCCCGGCATTCACGGCCTTGCAGTCTGCCCTAGGCCACTTGTCCGATCTCAAGCTCTGCCAGGGCCTTAGGTACCTTAGAGAGGAGGGAGTGGAGGGTCAAGAAGGAATCCATTTCCTCACTCACTGAGCAGCCCCACCCTGGACAGCACCCCTGCCCCCCAGAAGCTCCCAGTCTTGTGAGGAGATACACTCCCAACAGATTATTACAGCCAGGAGTTAAGGGTGCCAGGGACTGGGGGTGGGGGGCAAGGGAGAGACCACAGGAAAATTGTAGGAGTCCAGGGTACCTGATTCCAGACCCAGAGCTCCTTCCATCTGAGCTCATCTGCCTCCCTCCACCCAGGCCCCCTGACTCCACATGGCCCCATTCAGCAGAGCAGTGAGCCCACAGTGCTCTACTCCTGCTCCAGGAGACTGTGTATCTTTAGAGCAGCTGGAGTTGGGAGGAAGTGGAATTCCTAAAACTGGGGAGTCTCCACAGAGCCAAAAGTTGCCTTAGACCCCCCCAAAACCAATCAACAACATCCTTATCTAAAGGTCTCAGAGGCGACTTCACTGCTAACAGAATCAAACCACATCCGTATGTTTTACTTGTGTTTCACCATAAAGCGCCTTCTGATGATAAATAAAAACGGGCATCCTCCGTCCTAATTGCTCAGATATAGAATAACGTCCCCAGGAATCAGTTAGAGAACACTGGTCTAGAAGGTTGTCTACTGGAAGCCCCAGGAAGTTTGCTACACATCTGTCACGTCGTGTGCTGCCCATCTGTCTACTTCAGCAACCACTGAAGACCCCCCCAGACCCATAAGTCCAGGCATGCACCCCACATGCGTGCATAGTCTCACGCCTCCAACCACTCAGTCAGTTCCCAATCACCCACTCATCTTCGCATTCACTCACACAAGTATGCATCCACCCATCCACCCACCTAACCCAGCATCTGTCAGTCTTCTCATGGGTACAACCCTGAACTTGGGACAGTGGCTCTTTCAACCCACACTGGTTGGTTGGTTATGTGCCATGGAGTCAGTTCTGACTCATAGCGACCTTGTACAGGGTTTCTGAGGCTGTAAGTCTTTACAGGAGCAGAAAGCCTCATCTTTGTCTTGCAGAGCAGCTGTTAGTTTCGAACTGCTGACCTTGCGGTTCGCAGCACTGTGCTACCAGAGCTCCTTAGGGTGAGGAAACTGAGGCTGGTGGTGTTGATGGAGTCATCTGTGGTCCCAGGGAGTGATCAGGGAAACGGCAATCAGGGGCCAGAGGCCAGGCTTCCGGGCTCTGCCTTCCTCCCCACCTAGGACCCTTGGGCTCCCACTCACGCTGATGAGCCCTCCAGCTTGCCGTAGAGCCAGCCGTTCTGGGCCTCAGGCACTAGCACCTCCACGACGTCTCCAGCCGAGAAGCGCAGCAGCGTGTGGTTGGCACCCTCCGAGTGGGAGACCAGGGCGCGAACTCTCCTGGCGCCCCCGCTGCCACTGCCCCCGCCGCCCCCGCGCTCGCCGAAGGAGTCGGAGCGCGAGCGCTGGGTGATGCCGGTGTAAAGCGAGGCTGGGGAGCAGAAGAAAGCAGTAGCTCGTGGGTGGGCAGTTCACCCTCCAGTCTGCCCTGGATCTCTCTTGCTGCAGCGCTGTTCCTCTTCTTGGCCCCTGGGCCCCGGGCCCCCCAGCCTGCGTCCCCAGCCTTCCCTCTGCGCCCCTGGGGCAGGACACTTACAGGCAGATGGCGTCCGGGGTAGGGAGCGGCGGTCAGGCTCCAGTTGGGACGCGGACCTGGCCTCGGCGGGCTCCGGGCCGTAGGAGCCTGAACCGTGCCGGCTGCGGGGGGAGCCGAATTCTCCCAGGGGTCTCTGGGGCTGCGAGGGGAGACGGGCAGGGGAGGGTGGGGAGGGGGGGCGAGCCGGCCGCCTAGTCCAGCCCCCACCCCCACTCCCAGACGTCAGCGTAGGGGTTCTGGGGTCTGCGGCCCAACCACCACGGGGGCGCTGAGACCGCCCCGGGGCGGAAGGGCGGGAGGAGGGGCGCTCGGTAGAGCACCGTCCTGGGGGGCAGGAGGCTCCAGGCCGCGGGCCTCAGGCTCCAGGGTCTCATCGGGGGCGGGAGGGGCGGCGGGGGCTCGAACGGCGGCGGGGGCTCAAAGAGTAGCGGCGGGGGCTCAAAGAGTAGCGGCAGGGGCGCGAAGAGCGATGGCGGGGACGCCCAGGGCCTCACCATGTCAAGGCGGGTGGGTGTCAGGCGGCCTGAGGGGTAGGGTGGGCCCAGCATGGAGCCCAGCAGGCCTGGGGAGTGGGCGCGGGACGGACCGCGGCTGGCCTCCGACTGCTCTTTCCACAGCACCACTCGGTTCTGCAGCATCCCCCGGGCCTGGTCAGGCGGGCACAGGGGTCAGCCAAATCCAGGGACCCCAGAGCCATGGGACTCAGCCCCGAAAGTTCAAGGGCAGATATGTCTTGGTGTGACGCTGTAGGAAAGCACTAGACTGAAAGGTGGGTTTGAATTGCAAGATTGGCCGTCCAAGCTCACCAGCCACTTCTATACAGGGTCACTATATGAGTGGAAACCAACTCGATGGCGTAACAAGAACACCAAAAGCGCCAGAAGGCAGCTATGATGTCACTTTGGGCCCTCCCAGCGCTCAGCCCCTAACCCATTTTGTCAAAAGTCCCTTTCCACTCTGTGTGCTTTAGGGGCAGAACTGGCCTCACTGGTCAGCTTTAGAGGTAGGAGCAGGGACCAGGCCAGGCCACTCAGGTACTCCATCCACTTGGAGTAAGGGGCACAGGGATAGCATTTATGCTAAAATTTTGACCAAAGAACCCAGTCCCAGATGTTTCTTGGAGCTAATAAGGGACAATAAACTCCTCTACCCTTACAGGGCTTACTACATAGGAAGAGTGAAGCCAGCAGCAATAGATAGTGACAGGCATATGGTAATATTATCTGTGCTGTTGGATCCAGCTATACCTGAAGCCCTTAAACTTCCCAGTAACTAAAATAATACCTATTCTGTTTAAGCCCGATGTGGGTGTGTTTTCAAAAAGAACCCTTTTCAGCCAACAAACATACAAAGAAATGTTCATCATCATTAGCCATTTGTTGTTGTTGTTAAGTGCCGTCGAGTCGGATCCGACCCATAGCAACCCTGTACAGGGTTTCCGAGGCTGTAAATCTTTACGGGAGCAGAAAGCCTCATGTTTCTCCTGCAGGACAGCTGGTAGTTTCGAACTGCTGACCTTGCGGTTCGCAACCCGATTCATAACCACTACACTACCAGAGTTCCTTAGAGAAATGCAAATCAAAACAACAATGACATATCATCTCACACCAGCAATAGCAGCGAAGTTCAAAAATGCAGAGGATAATAAATGCTGGCCAGGATGTGGAGAGACTAGGACCCTTTTACATTGCTGGAGGGAATGCAAAATGGTCCAATGACTCTGGAAAACAGTATGTGTGCTTCCTCAGAAAGCTGGAATAGAAATTCCTTATGATCCAGCAATTCCTCTACTTGGTATTTATCCACAAGAAATATGAGCCATAACACTAGTAGATCTATGCACACCAATGTTCATAGCAGCACTATTTACAATAGCAAAAAGATGGAGTCAGCCATAGTGCCCATCAATGGAAGAATGGATAAACAAACTTTGGTACATACATACAATGGAATATTATGCTATCTTGAAGAGTAACAAGGAAGCTGCAAGCCACCGCATAACTTGGATGAACCTTGAGGATGGTATGAGTGAAATTAGTCACAAAAGGACAAATATTGCAGAAGACCATTATTGTAAAAGCTTAAGAAAAGCTACCCATACTAAACTGAAAAAAAAAAAAAATTATTTGTTGGTTACTGGTGGGGTTGGAGTGGAGGGGGGCTCGGGGGAGGTGGAGGGAGGCGACAGAAGACACATCCTAGTTTGGGTGTTGGGGAGGGCAGTATACAAGAAGGGGGAGGGATGGAAGACCAAGGTAGATAGGGGAACACTGAGACAGGTTTGCATAGCTAATTGGGACAGATGTAAATAGTGATGCATGCTCAACCTTGGAACAACGGGGCTCTGTGATACAGGGATCAAGGAATAGTTTGAAGAGGGGAAATAATACTAAGATGCTTGACTGTCTTACGTATATTGGTTTCCCTTCCCTACTATTGTAAAATGGACAGTTGAGTTGGACAGAAAGGAATGTTGGGAAACATGATTACAGAAAACTTGTAAGCCTGTTTTCGGCCTATAACTGATTGGAATACCTTAAAGGGGCTCTACAACTTGCCCAGAGAAATAGGCCTACTGCGGCGCCTTTACAGAGTATGGGGCCTTAGGTGGAATCCTGAGTCCCATCCAGAACCTTCTGAGGTGGGACATTCCCACTGGAAAGGACAAGCAGACCAGCCTGGAACAGCTAGAGCAACAGAAGATACATCTTCAAAGAAAGATCAGCAGGAAAAAACCCAAAACAAAAATGGCAGTATGACTGGCTACTACAAGAATAAACAAGTTGTTTGCCGGGAAGCCATCAAGACAAGCAATCAAATTCCTTCATGACAAACCCCCCTCTAAGACTGAAACTCAAAGGGAACACATGAGCAGGCATGTAAGCTTGCTGATGGCCACATTGGTCTACTGGTGAGTGGAAGAGGGGGAAAGGCAACAATGAAGAAATGGGCTGAGTTCAACCACGTTTCACAGACTCCTGTTGACCTGGAGATGAGAGAGAGAAGAGGAAGGGCTGGTTGGTCCAAAGTGTGGAGACCTGGGGAC